AGTACGTTGAAGAAGACACAAATCAACCTTAAGAAGAGTCCGAAGGCAAGATTAACACGAAATTACGTTGAAACTCGTTTGAAATGTGTAGAAGATTACTGGAGTGAATATAAACAAACTTATAGTGACTTAATACGCAACGTACCGAAGGAGAAACGTGATAAGATACCCTACATAGTTAATGAAGAATACTTTGAACATGAAGAATTGTATTTAAGTTTGATTACTGACTTGAAGGATTTATTAGTAAATCAACCAGTTAAATATAGTGATTCATCGCCAATACCTAGTGATGTTCAACAAACACGAGTGGTTTTGCCGAAAATACAACTACCTACGTATAGCGGACAATATGAAGAGTGGTTATCGTTTCATGATTTATTTAACACACTTGTACATAAGAACGCGGCGTTAAGTAATGTACAAAAACTGCATTATTTGAAAACAAGTCTTAGTGGAGAAGCCTCGTCGTTATTAAAACACATACAAGTGTCAGATACGAACTACGAAGAAGCATGGAATATTCTTAAAAGAAGGTATGGGAACAAACGCATTAATGTCGACGCAATTATGAAAAGATTCTTCTCTCTTAAGAAAATCACCGTGGGAAATTCTAGTTCTATAAAGAAGTTACTGGATACAACATTTGAATGTTTACACCAATTTCAAAATATGAACGTGCAAACTGATAACTGGGACCCTTTGATAATATTCGTTATAGTGCAAAAGCTGGACAGTGAAACCCACAAAGATTGGGAAAATTATGTGAGCAGCAATTGTCAAGAACCTGAAAGCTTACCTTCACTGGACGTGTTTCGTAAATTTCTGGAATGCCGATTTCGTACGTTGGAACTTACAGAACCAACAAAACAAAAGACAAGTACTGAGCATGTTCGAGAAAAGTCATTTCACGCCGCAACCAAGATGGATAATAATAAAGTATGTCAAATGTGTAAAGAAACCCACACACTTAGCCACTGTAAGGACTTTGGAAAACAGACACCATCACAAAGAAGTGAGTTTATCAAAAACAACAATTTGTGCTTCAACTGTCTTGCACCCGGACACTCTGTGAGACATTGTCGCATACCAACAAGCTGTAGAATATGCAAAAGACGTCATCATACATTACTTCACGAAAATAAAGAAGGCGATATAAATGGGAACACGACGGGCAACACTGAGAACAGACAATCAAATCAACCCGAAGTGGCTTTACATACAAACGTGGAGAAGACTAAAGAAGAAGAAGAAGATATTACATTGTTGACGTCACACGTTTCGAGTAATCAAAGTACTGCATTACTAGCAACTGCAATCGTAAAAGTGAGAAGTGAAGACAACTATACAACGACACTGCGAGCTTTAATTGACCAAGGCTCACAAGCGAGTTTTATAAGCGAGCGAGCTGTACAACAACTCACGGCCAAGCGGTATCCTACCAAGGGTACAGTCGTCGGTGTGGGATCAACAAAACAAGACATTAAACAAGTAGTTCAGATCAGTATCGAATCAAGAATTGAGGCATTCAGGTTGAAGGTAAGAACATATGTCATGTCAAAACCGCTGACTACTAAAATACCGTCCCGCACAATAAATACAAACAAACATTGGCCTCACTTAGAAGGGCTAGTTCTGGCTGATCCAAACTTCTACCAGCCAGGTTCTATCGATCTGCTTCTGGGTGTCGATGTTTATGCACAAATTGTACAGAACCAACTAATCAAAGGTCCGCCAGGGTCACCGTGTGCTCATAAAACAACCCTCGGCTGGATTTTATTCGGAAAGATTGAAGATACACCACAAGCAATCCGTGTTAGTAGGCAAATCATAACTATTCTGAGACGAGGAGGCTTCGAACTTCAGAAATGGGCATCGAACGATACAGATTTTCTCAAATCTTTAGACGCCAACAGAATAACTACAAAAGCTAATCTAGACCTTAAACTAGATGGCACCATCAAGGCACTTGGTCTATCATGGAATCTTGGAAGAGACGAGTTCAATTATCAACTACAACTAGAACCTACAACGTCAAATATTACAAAAAGAACAATTCTATCAGATTTGCAGAAGTTATTTGATCCACTTGGATGGATATCACCAGTGATTGTAACAGCAAAAATTCTTGTGCAAAGATTATGGTTAGAAGGACTTGGATGGGATCAAGAAATCAGCAGCGAACTGAGAGACGAATGGAAATGTATAAGAAGAGATTTAGAAAATGTAACAGAAATACGAATCAGACGTTGGCTGGACACAATTAGCACTGAAAAAGAACGAATAACATTACATGGATTCTGCGATGCATCTGAAAAGGCATACGCAGCTGTGGTATATTGTCGAGTACGAACTACAGATGGCGAGATAAAAACAAACCTCATCGCCTCAAAAACGAAGGTCGCTCCTGTGAAGACCATTTCACTACCACGTCTTGAACTTAGCGGAGCAGCACTACTAGCCAAATTACTAGCCAACGTGAGTCAAGCTATGAGGATTCCGTCAAGTAATGTATATGCATGGACTGACTCAACTATAGTCCTCGCATGGCTCTTTGGAGAACCCAATCGATGGAAATCATTTGTTGCGAATCGTGTGGTTGAAATATTAGAGCAAACAAGCAGCGCACACTGGTTCCATGTTCAGTCAGCACATAATCCAGCCGATATAGCTTCAAGAGGATCATCTTTAGCAAAACTACAACATGAGACATTATGGTGGAGAGGACCTACTTGGCTTGCAAGCGAAAACATTGAATATACGAGACCGTCAAAATCAACCACAGATTTGGAAAGCAAGAAGATCATACAGTCCCACGTCAATGTCAATGAAGAAGAGAAATTTATAAAATTTGAAGAATACAATTCACTTACAGAACTGCTTAGAGTGATAGCATATTGCAAGAGATTTTTGAAAATGAAGACAGACCCCAACAAATTGGGACAAGAAATGACAACAGAGGAGATACAAAACGCCTTAGACGTTTGCATAACATTCACCCAACAGGACGAATTTTCAGATGAAATAAGAAGAATAAAAGAAAGGAGAAGCGTAAAAACCACAAGCATTTTGAAGTCACTAAACCCATTCGTAGACAAGTACAATATTCTTAGGGTGGGCGGAAGACTGAGAAACGCAGACGCTGACGAGAACCTGAGACATCCCGTGATACTAGGCAAGAGAAACGGCTTAGTGTCACTAGTAGTCGCTGATGCACACCTGAAAACAATGCATGGCGGAATAAATATCATGATCACTTACCTGATGAGCAGATACTGGATTGTTGGCTGCAAAAGACTGGTGAAAAAACACATACATGAATGTCTTACCTGCGCGCGGCAGCGAGCTGCAAGCCACAAACAAATGATGGGTGACTTACCTGAGTGTCGGGTGACCCTCTCGCGTCCCTTTTCTCGAAGTGGAGTGGACTTTGCTGGCCCTGTATACGTGTTGAACTCGAAAGGAAGAGGATCTAAAACCAGCAAGGCATACATCTGCATCTTCATATGTATGGCCGTAAAATCGATACACTTGGAACTTGTGAGCGATCTGACGCCCGAAGCGTTCATCGCGGCATTTAAACGTTTCGTCGCTAGAAGAGGAAGATGTAATGAGCTCTGGAGCGATAACGGTACTAATTTTGTGGCAGCAAACAAAGAATTACATGCAATGTGGAAGGAAGCAGGATTTGAACTACCCGGCTTAATAGCTGATCAACTGGCTAACGATGGAACACAATGGCGGTTCACACCACCATATAGCCCAAATTTTGGAGGACTTTGGGAGGCTGGAGTCAAGTCCGTCAAACAACATCTTCGAAAAACACTGACTAGGAATTTAACATTTGAAGAGTTTACTACAGTGCTTACACAAATTGAAGCCTGCCTTAATTCTCGCCCATTAACCCCGATAAATACAGATGTTGATCTCATAGAAGATATACAAGTACTTACACCAGGACATTTTCTTGTCGGTGAGCCTCTAATTACCGTACCCGATCGCAACTTTATTACTGCTAACGTAAACCTATTATCCCGATGGCAACACACCCAAAGACTTGTTCAAGGATTTTGGAAACGCTGGCAAACAGAGTACTTGTCACGACTGAACCAAAGACCTAAATGGCTGAAGAGAGCAACAGAGTTCGAAGTCGGCGACATCGTGCTTCTCAAAGGCGAAAACATGCCACCTAGCAAGTGGGCGTTGGCACGAATTATGGAAAAACACCCCGGACATGATGGAATAACCAGAGTTTATACAGTGCGCTACAATGGCAAACTGTCTCGGAGATCAGTATCAAACTTATGTGCTTTACCGATTTATACTAAAGATTAATTTTAATATGTTATGTATCCAGTTAAGTAAGAATTTGTTTTGTTTCAATTACTAAAAATTAAGTTTGTTTTAAGTCAACTATGTCATGTTTTAATTGATTTAAGTTTTATTATTTTGAAAAGGCCTTAAAGCCCTTTTGGTGGGCGGTATGTTCATTCAATCAGCAATTTAGATGTACCCTGTACGTAGCACGGCGACACCGCTCATTCAATAGTTTAAGTTTAGTTTAAGTTAGTGTCCAATACACCTTTGTATAGAACGCACGTTGTTTTATTCAAAACAGTCGCATACGAATTACGACCTTATCACCCTAACACACATGTACTTTTAAAAGTAGTTTTTTATGTTATTTTTATTTATACAATATACATATGTATATATATAAATATATATATTTAATTGTTATGTTTTATTAATTGCCTCTGATCCCTGATGACTGTTAAAATTTAAGAACGTATGTACTTACTTAAATTCTTAATTGTAAATTATCTGGTTTCTCGTAAATTAGTGGACAGGATGGATGCACGCTGCCTCAGCCGAGTCCTGCATAAATGATGGCACATACCTGGTCGTAGGCAGTATGCAGGACGCACGGCGTGCAGCCGGTGTGCGCGGGCAGCAAAGTCGCGATTAACTGCAGAACATCTCCAGCCGGCCTATCGGGGTCAATGGGACAGTGGGTGGGATACACATGGGGTGCGAGCGAGTCCGGGCGGCGCGCCGCTGGGCGTCAATGAGCGAGTGTATCGCGAGCCTGCCGAGCGCGGCCGCGACACTCGCGCGTTTAATCCCACTCGACTCTTGTCGGTCGATGCGGTACCGAAGAGGACTCGCGCATGACTAGATCGGCGTGCGGACGACCCGGCGGCTGCCGAACAATGCGCAGCGCGGAACAAGCGCGCAACAATCGATAGGACGGGGCGTGCGCTGCGGTGCGCCTGGATCCGACCCCTCGCGGACATACGACACCCTTTATTTATATGATGACGTTCGAAATCGACGTCATAATGAAAATAGAGCGAGCGCTTTTGGGCAGAACGCGCGAGGAAGTCGACAGGCGCGGGAGCGGCGGCGCGGCTGTCACGCTCGCCGAAGCAACGTACGCGCAGCCTTACTGCGCCGCCGCGCAACTCTGAAACAGAAGGTCAACTGCGAAGTGGCCATTTTAAAATTGAAGCAGATTGTAATTTGTTATGAATGTTTTTCATTAAACTATAGTGTAAAAGATAAATTCACCTATTTTAAAGCAATTTTAGCTTGGTAATTATAACATATATTTTGGTATCAGTTATTATGTAATCGACATTTAAATTACTACTTTTTCATAGTTGACATGTGATAGTTTAAAGTCAAAAAATTCTTACGTGTTCAAGTTGAGTAAAGGTTGGCTGCTTGACATTCAAACGGCAAACGCAACACATGTTATAAGTTATATCTTGTCGTTTTAACCGGGATGCATTTACGTGTAAGTGGAATTAGAATGTATTATTGAGAGGACTGGGGCCTGAGTAATGGCAGGCGCGGACGGCCCGCCTCGCGAAAATATATCTGTCTCACTCACCACGCGTTAGCCACACCGCGCAGACGCGAGCTCGCCCCCGCCTCGCTCTCACACTTACGCTACTCTTTAACTAGTGCTAACTTTCGTGAAAGATACTAAACTCTTTAAAAGTCGAGTGCTAACTTTTTCGGCATCCTGTACATCAGTAATTTATACTCTAACTGCTCCAGTCACAAAGTAAAACATTAGCTCACTGTTTCAATTTTAATCAAGTTTGTAGGTATGATATGTAGGCGGAAACTTTAGTGGCGGGAACGTGTCTTATCATGCGTATTCATTCTATCCAGTGCTATCTGTGCAATACGTTGCAGTTCAGTGAATTGTTCGACATGTTTTTGAATTTTGTAAAACTTTATCAAGGGAAGTGCGTTTTTGTTGATTGTTGTTATAACATTGGCTGTTTACAAATGTCCCGTGACACTTTATTGTTGATAATGGTCTTTAAAGAGATTGTCTACGTTCCAGGAAGTTTAAAACTTTTAATATAAGTTCTAGATTGTTGGTGTTTATTTACAAAACATTCATTTGATTAATTATTATTGTAACACGTATTTATAAACTTGAATCCTGAAATGATTTATTGAAAAAAAAAATAATAATCTACATAAATATTTGCGTGTTACAAAAATACTATAACTAGGCTTGGAAACAACTTTTACTTTTGAAAAATGTGCAGCTAAATCAACAAGTGAACCACTATGCTCTCCGGCGGACGTGACCCCACTGAAATAGACTAGCATCATCGAATTAATTCCTGAGCACAAAAATAGTGAAGCCGGGTAAAATTAGAATGTTCGAGAAACTGTTCACTTTTAGATAAACTCTCGTTGAATGTTTGTTTGTAAACACCGCGCTTTATGTTGTTCAATATATATATAATAACTAAACAACTAAATATTTTAATCTTGTTTTGGCAGATTCATAATTAGTTTTTGAAAATGCCTTACGTCGTGCAAGAGTTACTTGTAAGTCATGTGTACAAATTCAAATATTTAGTATTAAATAATAATAAAAAATACTTACGAATTTTAAAATACCTGATGTTAAAAGATCATTTTCCATTATTATAGACCTCCATATGGACGTCCTTTAGCCAAAATGATGATATTTATATCGATTTCATACTATCCTCACAACTAGGTTACATCCCTATGTATCTTTACTAATATCATAAAGAGGAAAAATTTGTAAGTTTGTAAGTTTATATGTAGGGGGTAATCTTTGGAACCGCTGGTCGGATTCCCAAAATTCTTTCACTGATAGATACCTAAAATGTTCCTGAGTGCTATAGGCTATAAAACATCACGCTACAGCTAAATGGAGCAGAGCAGCGGGTGAAACCGCGCGAAAATAGCTAGTACCTATTTCATAAAATGCTATTTTCAGTGTGAGATGCTTAGGCGTGAATGGGTGTCGAACTTTGCCGTGTTTTACTAATCACAACCGGTTACCGGACCTAAAACCCTAAACCCTCCGAAATCCCAAAATCTCCAAATCCCTTATCCCCAAATGGTCGGCTACGCACTCGCTACACACGGGTGTATACGGGCGGCGCTGACTGCTTACCATCAAGTGAAACGTTGGCTCATCTGCCATCCTATAAATTATAAAGAAGTAAGCATAAAAAGCAAAAGTTGTAGACATCGAACCCTCGACACCAGTGTAACTATCAATAGTTCACATATTAGGTACTCTGTCAATAGTTTTGACAATAATTACTTTCGATTGCTTCGGGAAATCGGGTGTTTGAATGATTTCGTTTTTACTCGACTCCTGTTGGTCGTAGCTTGATTTTTTTTACCCTTCTTCATGAATGGACAACAGATAAACTTACATTAATAACTAAGAAACAAACCCTTCGGGCGCCTTAACCTCCGGCCCACTACGACTATCTTCACGATATCTCTGACCATAAAACTCCAAATACTAAATTAAAATTTTTAAAAATTATTTAATAGTTAGTCCGATGATGATTGGATTTCGCGCTAAAACTTGAGGTGGTACTGATATCGACGAAACGATGTCGCGGCACTATTTCTGCCTAGCTACGTAGCCAGGGAGGATAGCATCGTAACCATGGCAACCATATGACCAATTTTCAGGCCAATATTAAATATAGGTATACTACATAATATATGATACATAATATTTTATCATACACATAATATCGTGACGTGACCAGATTAATAATAATTAAACTTGTATTACAAAAATAACACATAATATCTAAAGAAAATTACTGATTTTCTACTGATCAGTTAGGTTATAAAGTCTGTTGTTTTAAACTTAATTTTATAATTTTATTACATTTTAATTTAAGCTTCGAGATTAAATGTGTGTGAAAATAATAATCTAATAATAAACAATCGAGATTCGCCCGTGTCCAATAATGTTGATTTTCCTCCTAACTCCACAACGTTAATGAGATTAGCCTTGTATTAACAGGTCAACCTGAGGCTTTAAAGAATACAAATGTGGATTAATGTAAACCTACAACATTACAATGGATTTTCTATCAACTCTTTACCTATGACAAGTGGTTTGACTTTACATCATAGCTTGATGAGATTTTGTTTATATTATCTGGTGTAACTACTAGTATCTACTTTTAAAATAATATAAGTGTAACCAAGCTTCGGCACGAATGAGTCGGCTAACCCGGATTGATACCACGGCCTTACAGAAACCGGCGTGAAACAACCACAGCGTTGTGTATCGCCGTGTGAGTGAGGTTATCGAGGGGCCCAATCCCTTTCCCTCCCCCAACTCTTCCTAGTCCTTAAATATCCGAAACACTTATCCATAAAAGGTCGGTAACGCAATCGTAACTCCTTTGGTGTTGCGTGTGTCCATGGTCGGCGCAGATTGCTTACCATCAGGTAATCTGTCTGATTGCCGAACTATACCACAAACTATATATATATAATTATACTTTTAAAACACGTGTTATTCAATGTTTACGACTATTCACATTTGTATATGGTATGGCGGCAAATAAGCGGACGCGTCACCTGATTCACAAATCGGCGCTGCACAATGCACGTGGACCTCCGCAACATCAGTGCGCTCAACGCCATGTCGCAACAAATAGATTTGTTTCACTGCACTATGACCGCATATAACTTTAACTTCCATGGTAGATTAAGTTGTTTAAATATAGGAAAGTTTATATAATTTTGTTTTATAATTAATATGTAAGGTTTCTTTGTATTGTTTTTGATTTTGTGTGTTATGTATTTCTTTGTAATGTTACTACACTATTGTATTAGGAAACTCCTGTGATAATAGTTGTATTTTGGTAATAAATAAATAAATCAGGCCGGCTCAGGATAAGGATTTTGAGAATTTGGCGTTGGACAGGCTTATAACAAAGCTAGCGTTCTAATTCACTTTGGAAGTCAGATTACCTCACCACAGACGGAACCCTACAGGGCTGATGTTCAGCCGGGATTGCAGGATAAGCGTAATGTGGCGCCGAGGCCTCGACCTAAAACAGGAGCAGAGACGGGGTGGTTTTAGTCAGTAAGAGTCTGACACTCTCTTTCGCCTTAACCTAGGTAGGAGAAGTCATTTGACGTATTTCCCCTTAACAAAAAAAAAATGGGATTACTTGACGCCCAATTAGGCCATTGTATATCTCCAATATATTTGGTTCAAATCATAAATCCTAGTAATAGAACATTTTTGGTGGATTGCTGGATGAATGGATGGGTGGATGATGGATGCATGCATGTTTGGACTAATGTCGTAGTGGCCCGGAGGTTAAGGCGGCGCTTCTCATGCATGAGTGTACGAGTTCGAAACCTGGCAAGTATTAATGTGACTTTTTCCAAGTTATATGTACTTTCTATGATTATTTAGAACATCGTGAGGAATCCCTTATAATTTCTAATTACTTCAAAAAGGTTTGAAATCGCCAATCCGCAAGCGTGGTGATTAATGCTCAAACCTTCGCCTAGTGAGAAGAGGAATTTACCCAGCAGTGGGCACTTCTAGGCTAATGATGTGATTGAGGCATGTTTCTCTGGAATTGCCAAATTACTGACAGAATCTAGTAAATTACATGAAGTATTTCGTGGATACTTGAAAATATTAAGAGCAAAATAATAACATCTCTGCATATCCCTTTGTTTAAACAAATGTCTGCGACACAAAAACAGATCAGTATAAAATATAAATGGTAACCCTCAAGTACTGGGATACTTGAAAAGTTTGTTACTTTGAACTCTGAATGCACGGGCGAGGATTAAGAAACTTTAATAAACTAAATATTCTACGGACATTGGTTGGCCATTCGTTAGTCCAGCAGCCAATCACAAAGCCTGCACTCGGTTATTGGAGAATGTTCTGAAATTGATTTCACAGTTCCAGGAAAGAGTAGCGCGCTAAAATCTAGGTCATATAGACTGCTCCATATTGGCCAGAAACTACGTTTGGTTAGCGTTGTACCTGGGTTACTGGCCGCCTTGCGACGTGTTACAGGTTCGATCCCTTTTTATAATACTTATTCTACTTCATATATAATTATTTTGCTTGCTTGTATTATTGATCTTTTCACCAGAAAATAACTCTACGGGGCAGGTGCTCAACAAAATAAGAAAGATTATAACATAATCGAAGGATGCATTTTCTACTTAAAATATACAAGAAGTGTCAAGAAAAGGATATCCGTCTTGTCATCGTATACCATTTATTTATTTATTTACGTTAACACAGATTTGATCCAGTAATATTAACACAGATATAATAAAGGAAAAGAAAAAACGAAATATAAAAATATGAACTTAAAACAAACAAAAACAAATAGGAACCAATCATTCAGACTTTCACAAAAACTCAAACATATACCTCTAATAATATTAAATTTATCTACAAATACATCACAGTCGGGATAGGCCTCCACGAGACTATTAAGGGCGGACAGCGCTCTGGGAATAGGGGATGATGCACTGGCTACGGTACGGCATGCGGGCACGGCTAGTGGACGGTGCCGACGAGCACGAAGGTAGTTCTGTTGGTAACCACCATCTTGGGCCAATGTTAAGCCGAGTTTGTGGGGTTACCGTAATAAGGTATCACGGTCTCAGACCAAAACCAAGAGAACGAACGGAGGTTTTTGTCAGTAAGAGGTTGTCTCTCCCTCTCGCCTCACCCTGGGCGAGACAATTCATTTGATGATTTTGCCCTCACATAAAAAGTCTAACGATTATAAAGTAGACGAGGCTCAGATACGAGACCTAGGCGTACTTCTAACTCCAGATCTTACTTCTTGGGAGCACATACTTAACATTTGTAAAAAGGAGCACGGAACCTGGATTTCGTCCTCATCATCAGCCTATAAGTGCCCACTGCTGAGCAAAGGCCTCTTTACATACGGAGAAGTTAAGAGCATTAATAACCACGCTTGCTCAATGCGGGTAAGCGATTTCAAACTTATAAAATATAAGTCCAGGTTTCCTAAAAAAAAGGAAAAAAAGTATTTCAAGAGCTTTAACACTAAGCGTGTCAGTCTGTCCTCTAGTGAAGCTATTTGCTCGTTCCAAAGTGTAGATTCCTATGCAGAACAAGCAACTCCAAGGTTACACTTTTTCAATCAGTTTTACAACACATTTCTTTGTTACATCATTTAGTCGGTTCTGTTATAATTAAGTAAACTCAATTTATTATTTAAAATGGTCAAATTATCGTAAGATACATCAGCAGGTAAAATGGGTAACTCAACAACATTAAGTTTAAAATAAGTGTATTCTATACTCATTATTGTTTTTCACGTTATGAGGAACCCAGATTACCGCGCTGTGTTCTAAGTAACTTCTCACCAACGTATCATAGAGCACCTTAAGGTTCGTAAGTCTTAGGACGAAATCATGTCACACATGTCGTGGTAGCCCGGAGGTTAAGTAGCCCGCTTCTCATGCATGAGGGTGCGGGTTCGAAACCTAGCAAGTACCAATGTGACTTTTTTTCGAGTTATATATACTTTCTATGACTATCTAGACACCACTGACATACTGAAAAACTCGTGAGGAAACCTAGACTTATATTTTCTAATATAAGTTTGAAATCGCTTACCCGCATTGAGCAAGCGTGGTTATTAATGCTCAAACCTTCTCCGTGTTAGAATAGGCCTTTGCTCAGCAGTGCGTACTTATAGGCTGATGATTATGATGATGAGGATGTAGATATCTACATAGGGTGAGTCTGGCAGACGACTAAAGTGAAGCTGCATTCTATTTAAAGTTGAAAAATGGCCCAGATTGGTTTTAAAGTTCTTAGCGCTAAACAACCAATATCTGGACTTTCGAACGAGTTTGTAAGGCACGTTTATATTTATTTGATTTTGTAACCGTGGACAATCAATGTGAGTATTTAATTTCTTATATATTCTAGACTTAGAAGTTTGAAGTTTTTCAAATTTAAGCCGTAGTTTGGTATAGCGGAAGAAATCTTTTTTATACTGACTCTAAACGACGTTTATTTATGTCATAGGATGGCGTTCAAACTATATGTATACTACAATACTTCAAGGTTGACCTGACTATTGAGTTAAATATTGCAATTTTAGGCATTTTTGTTTTTTTTTTCACTTACGAAGTACAAGTCCCAACATTTTAAGACCTTTAGAAGCAATTTTATCAACATGAACGTTAAATTGAAGCTTATTGTCAATGTAGACACCCAAATCATGGATATGTTAGTTAATTATCAGTTGGTAAGTTCCATGTTATTTACTACAAAGTATTGTTGATAAGTTCGTAACACAGATATTATAATAAATTGTTGTCATATCTGCCATGTCAATTTCTCCAAGTCACGAGTGCATAGAAGGCTTAAGCGAAAATGCCACATCTTCGCTTACAATCGGGCGAGATAATGACCAAAGTAACGCTGACCGACTCTTCACCCAAAAATGTCACAGAAAACAGGCGTCAAACGCTTGCGTTAAATTCCACTTCGAAGTGATATCACTGTAAGCCCCCCAAAACGTCGCCAACATATTTGTAACTCTTCTGAGGTTGCGGGCATCTATGGGTGGTACTGGGTGCTGAATGAAATTTAACAGTTAACTGTTGAAATTTAACTGTTAAATTTCTATTTTTAACGGTATATGCTGCAATACTGCTTTTTCGGCAACCCATCTATATGTGGGCCCACTCAAGCTTAGCGTCTAGGGTTATACCTAAAAAGACCTGTATCTACAGGACTCAACTCCTCCAATTGACACTCGCGGCGTAAGTGCTAAAGGCCACACAGGAGCGTGGATTTGCTGATACCCGGTAGTGTTGCGACACCTCAAGCTGTACGTGCCCGACCAGTTCGTGAGGAGCCAAAAACTGGCTTTCAAAAGCACCCTTCATTCGCACTAAACGTTTCCTTAAAGTAGTATACATAACGATAGGATACATCTCGTGCAATTTGAATTTGAATGGCATTAAAATTCGCAAGATTTTTGTAGAATTTTGTATCCCATATTTTTTTTTTTATTTTTAGTTTCAAGTGTCGGTTGCTTGTGTTTTAAAAGTTATACAAGTTTAGGAATTTGTTTTCCTAAGTTTATTCAAATCATCTTGTGTGTGATTGCAAACTACATTATTGTATTGGGTATGCCTGAAAAAATACTGTGCTTACCAATAAATTCCCCTAATCATACGACTGTCTGTCTACGGCCCGAGCCTATTGCCCCATCTACTCGTTTGTTGCCCTAACCGTCAGAAAAAGCGATTTCGACTTTATTATAATTCTGGCTTTCATAAAAACAGACCAAACTTCACCAAAAATATGCCAATATCTTTCAATAAATATTGACTGTCAGTCAATAAACCATACACTTAACTGGATAGAAATGCACTCACAGCGCTAACCAACCGGTATCAGTAAGGAAACTACAGATGCATAGCCAACGCCATCTCGTGGGGAATAGCGTCAATAAATTAACGGTAGCGGGGAGTAGCGAAACTAATTTGTAACTATAGTACTGTCGCATTCTGTGTAGCCGCTCACTGCTGATACTAATGATAATGTCACAAACCAATTTTAAAGAATTATTGCTCACCTACCAGTAACATTAACAATACCTTAACTTACTAATCAAGTTCGGTTTGTCGCTTGTTCAACATTGACTAACTTAATAAAAA